ACAAACAACAACAACAAACAACAGCAACAACAACAAACAACAGCAACAACAATAATAATATCAATAACAACAATAACAGAGGAGAAAGAATAAACAAGACTTATAGTATTATATTGAATTTATCAAATATTTGCAATTAAATTGTAACATTTAAAAATTTTACAAAAAGAGCAAAACTAATTGTTAACGAAATGAATTAACTGATATTAGAAATATTAATGCTATAAAAGTTTTAAATTGAATTGAAATTAAAATGAAAAAAATGTAAATAATATTTTTGCTTTTTTATCTTGCAATTATGCAAATTTAATGTCTTTTTTCTTTTTCTATTCCATCCGAGCATATGATTTCAAGTAATGGGATTTCAGGCCTTTTTTTAAATTAATTAATCAATTGCCTTTTTTATTGCTGAGGAATTTTTGCAATACTTTGGACCAATAATAAGAAAATGAGAAAGATGAAAAATTGTAATGTCTTAACTTTTATAATCACAAGAAAGAATGAAAGAAAAAAATGTTTAAAGGAAAAATTTTTGAAGCCATAACATTTATGGCCATATAAAAGTACGGGTGATGTGAAGGTTTTTGAGGCCTTAACATTTATGGCTACATGAAAGAAGTGTGATATTCTAGAATGCCCTAAAGTGACATCATCCATGGTGCATGCAATTGTTAAAATAGGCCTCATGTCATCTTTACGTCAGTCATCAGCTATTTGTTTTTTTTTTTTTTGTTAAAGATTTTATAATTCTTTTTCTTTTCAGTTGAAAAATAATTTATAAAATAATAGCAGAAAAAAAAGGAGGTGACATTTTTGTTTTTTTTTTTTAAATTCTCAAATGGTTAAATTATTTTAATATAAAGATTAGCCAATGCATAAATATTTTCATTTACATATAAAATATGACGAATAAATAATAAATAATTATAGTTATATTGCAAATTATTCAACATAATAATCATTTATTATCACTATAATGTGATGGGCATTTTTAACATCACATCATATTCATATTGATAACTTTTAATTCCTAATTTACATATCAATTTTATCTTTCAATTTTAGCCTAATGTATATTAATACTTGAAAAGATGAGTAAAATTAATTAATTGTTTCAATAATTTTAATTGATTTTAATTAAAAGATATTACAAATGAGTCCAATTAAACGATATGATATCATCTTTTAGGATTTTTTTTTTTGCATATTTTATGTTAGTTTTGAATTGTTTTTTTTTTTAATTAAATGATTAAATACCAAATAATATGATATCATTTTTTGATGGTTTTTTTAGAAATGCAACAAAATTCCAATTGCAAAAACATTCATCATTGTTATGATTACTTTCTTAATTGTTATTTAGACTTTAAAAAAAAGAAAAAAAAATGAAAATTATCATTAAAATGATTGATAATATTGTAATATCTTTTTTCTAATTGTTAAAATACTTATTTATTCATCGTTTTTGCATTATTATTTTATGGTATTTTTAAATAAAATGCATTTTCAATTTTTGTATGCCAAAATTGAATAATATATCACTTTTTCAAAATTTAAAAAGAAAATTGGAATTAAAATATATCATTTTATCAAAATTCAAAAAAATTAGAATTAGAATATATTATTTTATCAAAACATTAAAAAAATTAAAATTGAAATATATCATTTGTAAAAATTTTTTAAAAAAATAAAGCTAAAATATATCATTTTATCAAAATTTAAAAAGAAAATTAAAATTAAAGTATATCATTTTGTCAAAATTTTTTTAAAAAATTAAAATTAAAATATATTACTTTTTATCAAAATTAAAATGTATTAAATATATCATTGGAATTAAAGTGTAACATTTTAAAAAATGTTCAAAAAAATGTGTAATATACTTGAAAATTACAAATAGTTTAATTTAAACGAAAGCGTAAATTACAAAAGAGAGAAAAAAAAAAGGAAGAAAAATTCGTCGAAACTGGAAATATGGCATTTTTCGTTTTCTTCCTGAAAGGAAAAAAAAAAGGGGCAAAGGAATTTATGAAGTTTTCCCGAAAGAAAGAAAAAAAAAAAAGGCAAAGGAATTGATGAACATTGTAAACGAGGAAGTTTAAATTTTAAAACAGGTTAAAATATTTTAGGACTATGGATGGATTGAAAAAAATATGTATATAAAAAATAAAAATTCTATAATAAATTATTTAATTAATAAATCAATTGTTGTTTTCTTTTCCCTTTTTTTTTCTTAATATCCCAAAATATGTATCGAAATCGAAATACAAATGTTAATTGCAATGATAATTTTAATTGGGGAATATTCAATTTCCTTTTTTAATTTTAAATTAAATAATTAAATGTTATAGTTAATAAATTTGGAAATGAAAAAGAAGAAATGACTGATTTGTTTTGATGAAAATTCGTGAAATAAAATGAAAAGTTGAAATGTATGCAGTATGAAAGCGTGAAAAAAATATTGGAATGAAATCAAAAGTTAATATATTTAACTAAGTTAAATGTATTTTATTAAGTTACAAATCAAATCAAATATTTTTTAATTTCAATTGCAAGAAAATTGAATTAAAAAAATTATCATTTCATTTGTAATTGTTTAAATGATTTGAAATAAATATATTTGTAAAAATAAAGATTTAAAAAAAAAAAGAAAAAGTGGTAGTCCATTCAATTTTAATTGCTTATCGAACGGGAATTGAAATAGTTGATTGAAAGAATTTAATTAAGTCATGAAATAAAAATAATCGAATTGATGGAATGAAACTGGATAACTTTGATTTGTGTGGTTGAAAAAAATTAGTTAACGAATTCAAATTAATTATCGAATAAATAATTATTTTGTGACAGAGAAAAAATGGAAAAAAAAACTGGCAAAATTATGTTTTCCCTTTTGAAGTATTATAATCAGTGAATGGTAATCGTTCAAATTAATAATAGACTCAATTAATTTATTCCTAAATGTATGTTTGTTAATAATTTTGTGAAAAAAAAGGAAAAAAGAAAGATCAATATTTAGACCAAAATATTTTATTTGGTTTTATTTTGAATGAATTACTTAAATCAAAAAATTTAAATTTCATAATTTTGTTAAGAGCTGACACATTTAATTAATATATGTTTAGCTGCTTGTATGTCTGTGTGTATCAAAAGAGCGATGACAACATTGATGACAGCAATGATATTTAATTAATGGCAAAAAAATTAAATTTCATAATTGCTGTTTTAAATTAAATTCATAAACTTTCATCATAAAATGCCTTTTCTCTTCATCAACTTCCTCATTCTGTCGCTTTTTTCCTTTAATTTCATTTTATACGATGACACAATTCGGATAGTATATAGCTGAAAACAGATTTGAATATCTATGAAATTCATTAATTATCGTATTCGTTTAAAATTTTTCCATTTCTTCCAAATTTAAAACATTCAAAATTAACATCCACCAAATTCTTCATTCATTAGTTATAAGTTATAATTAAATTTTAATAAAATTAGCAAACAAAAATTTTTTTCTTTTTGGACAATTTATATGCAAAATTTTTTTTGTAATTAAAACCAAAATGATCAAATTATTTGTTGTGTATTAAATTTTTTGATTGAAAATACAGTTATAATAGATAATTTTTATTGTTGAAAAGATGAAAATTTCCGAATTTGTTGAAAAATAAAATTTATCAAATTTAAATTTTTTGTCTTAAAATAATTCAATTTTTAATTTTCTGAATTCCATATTTTTTCTTCTTGAAAATTTTTGTTTTTTTTTTTTTTAAAAGAACTTTTTTCAATAGCATTTTGAGAGAAATCTTATAGCTATCAATAAACATTTGTAACAATAAAGGTACACATTTGGTAACATGATAATGATGGGCCGTAGAATTGATCAGAATTTAATTAATTAATTAATTATCACATATCACTCTTGTTAATTAAAACAATTTTATTATACATATTTTTTGTTTTTCTCGTTTATTCATAAAGAGGTAATTGCATGTTATATTCATAATCACAGTATCCTGGTCCTTCAGCCGGTTGTACCGGATATCCTTGTGCTACCATTCGACATTGCATTTCATACAATCTACAGATAAACCATTTATCAGCTAATCATTATCATTACGTATCAAATAAACTATTGTGAATTTATCATTGTTAACACTAAAAATGAATCGCATGCCCTACTTTTAAATGAATCATTTATCAATTTATCACTATCACTACGCAAGTTGGATCCTATATTTTACTTCAAAATGAATCATTATCAACTTATCATTATCATTACTAAAAGAAAATCATACGCTTTACTTTTCCGTTTTCCACATTGCTTGTACAGTTTCTCAAATGAATTTTTTTTTTTCATTTTCTACTATTAATTTTAAATTTAAACAAAAAAAAAAATCATCGAAACGAGAAAATACATTTAAAATAATTCCAATAATTTTCCAAATATTTTAAATTATTAATAATAGTTAGACATTTTTTCTGCTAAAAATTTCTCGTATAAATTATTAATTAATCCTTAATTTTTAAATACTTTAAATGAATATTAAATGAATGTATTTTCCAAGGATAATGATAAGTAAGTATGTAATTAGGTAAAAGAAAATAATTAAGATAAATAAATAAGTAAATAAAAGTAACCATACATATATCAAATAAATACAAGAAATAACCTTGGCCATGCTTTTTCAGTACTTGTCATTTCAATCGAACTCCATAAACGTTCTGCAACAGCACTTGCACGTGGCCATAAACGTGGTATCACGTTACTTCCGTCAACCCATTCACCCCAAAGTGCTGCTTCACCACCAATTACAAGATGTTTTTGCTCTTCGCTACCATTAAATTTCTACAAACATTTTTATCAACTTTTTTTTTTTTAATCTTATGAAATAAAACAAGAAAAAAAGATAAAGAAAAGAAGAGAAGAAAAAAAAAGAGCGATTAAAGAAGTGTTTAAAAAAAAAAGAATGTAATATTTCAAATTTTTAAAATTAAAAAAAGTAAAAATTAATTTTTTAAAATGTTAATAATCGTAAAAATTTTGTTTGTTAATTTTTTTTTCATTTTTTTTTCTTTTTTGTCGTTTTCTTTATATCAAACAATTGTGTATAATTTTTACCACTTTTTTCTTTTCTTTAACCTTTAAAATTATCATATTTAAGCAACTTTTTTTTCATTTTTAAAAATTTTCAAATTTTAATAAATCAATATTTATTTTTGCTTAAAATAAAGAATTATCATTAAACCTGTGGATCACAATCATAGTATAATTTCCAATCAGCAAATGATGCAATTTTATCAAGATACCAACATGCTGATAAGATTGCATAATATCCCATTTTTGTTGCATATTCCATATCATTTGTATTTTTCCAAATATGTGCTATCAGATTATCATTTATCATGCCATTTATCGTTAAATTTGCATTCTCTATCACCTCCTTTTTTTTAAAAAAAAAAAAGAATAAATAACAAACAAATTTCATATTATTTATTAATAATTGTTACATTTAATTAATAAATTAAAATAAAAATTATTTGTGAATAATGAAATGAAACTATTGTAAGGTTTGAAAATTTACAACTTTTATGCTATTAAAACTTTTGTTTTAAAAAAAAGAAAAAACCCCAATGAAATCACTAATTTTTTCATTAATTAATTCTTTTTATGATAGACATTTGCGCATTTCATCCATAAAAAAAAAAAAGCTTACTTGCCATACAATAAACTTTTTATTTTGTCCATATTTTAGAGTATGAAGAAGTGGAATAAATTTGTTGAAGTACCAAGTTTGAATTGTTGGACCATCTTTAAGTCCATAAATCTTTAAAGGAAATAAAAAAAAGGAAAAAAAAGCAAACTTATTAATTCAATTTTATTTTCATAATTCTCAAACAATTCATTTTACAAAAAAATTTTCAAAGTTTAAATTTTTGAATTTAAAATGAACAAAATATTGAGCAATTTTTTTGTTAAACTTTTGTGCTAGTAAAAATTTTAAAAAATTTAATGAAATTTTCAATTCTCCCATTAATTAACTATTTTTATGAATAATATTTTTGCAGAAAAAAAAAAGAGAGTGAGAGAGAGAGAAAAGAGAAAAACCTTCATAAATTGTTGAATAGTTGGATTTGATGTCCAACATTCCGTAAACCAATATTCACCTTCATCACCGCCTAGATGAACATAATTTTCCGGAAATGTTGAAAAAATTTCCTGAAAATTCTACCAAATTATTTTAAAATGTTAATTTTTTCTTTTTTTTTTATCAAATATCAATTATAATATAATTTCAAATTTAGTACAAAAAGAAAAATTAAAATTTTTTTTTTTAAAAATATTTAATCAAAAATAGAAGAGACCTGAAAAAGTGCACTTAATACATCCCAGGTATCTGAATTTGTTGGATCTAATAAATTCTCAAAATTTTCATATATTGAACCATTTGAATAATAGCATTTAGTTAAAAGATTTTTTACACCAATACCCCATGATTTCATATGTCCCGGTGTATCAAATTCCGGTAGCACACGTATACCACGTAAACGACCATAATTTATGATATCCTAAATTTCAAATATCATTTAATTCAAAATTATGGTAAATACAGTATTTTGCATATGAAAAAATGGATATAATTATAGTGAGAAAAGAAAAAACGATCTTTAAATCAAATTTCATTTTAAATTTTTCAAAAATTCAACCAAACGAATTGCATAATTACTAAAATGAATTTATATATATGCATATATCGTAACAAATATTAAATAATTTTTTCATAATAAATAATATTTACACCTACATTAAATATTTACATGTGAAATAATATTTACACGTAAAATAATATTTTACACGTTAATAACATTTATACGTACGCTAACGTAATATTTACTATTTTTAATGTATTTATAAAAATTTTAAAATATGAATAAATCAAAAAATTTGCCCAAATTTATGAAATGCATTTATTTATTTTTCATTAATTATTCGAAAATTTTATTATTTTCAAATAAATTTAACAAATGTTAACCTTAATCTGTGTTAGATTATAAACATGATTTGGTGTATAAGCTCCTTTAATTAATTCAGGAAGAACTTCTGATTGATACGGGAATGATTCGATATCAACGATATGCCAATGAAATGTATTAAATTTATTTTGTGCCATTAGTTCAATATTTGCTTTAATAATATCAACTGATAAATAATGCCTGTAATTTTTTTTCTTTCTATTCCTTAAATAATTCAATTTTACGATTAAATTTAATTATTTTATTAATTACAAAATTGTCATCATACTGTAACTTTTTAAAGTGACATTTTAAACGGAATAAAAAAAATGTGTCAAACAAAATGTCATAGCAATCATTTATAAATTATATGTGTGAAATGATTATCAAAAATTCATCTTATGATAGTTTGCATTCGATTGACGCATAGTTTGATTAGATAGTTCTGATATTTAAATAAAATAATTCAAATTTTACAAAATTTAATTCAAATTTACTACGTGATGGAGAAAAAAACTTCAAAAAACGAAAAAATAATAACGTTGGTATGTCGTAGTAATCGTATATGAATTAAATGTATATATGAAACTAACAGGAAATGATTTAATACTTGAATTGAATTTTATGTTGCAAAAATTAGAATAATAAAGACGCTCAGCAAATCGAATAATTGTAATTGTAATTAAATTTGCTACTGTGTGCTAACTTAAAAAAAAATTGAATGCTAGTTTAAAGCATAGTAATTGACTAGCAACTACTATGTTTTAAAAAAATTTTTTTAATTGCAGTAATTACACAGTAATTGAATACAACATTTTAAAGGAAAAATAAATTTATAAAAAGAATTAATTTAAATATACAGAAAAAATTAATTTAAAAAAAATAATTTAGATATACGGCATAGTAATTAAATACTAATTTTAATTGAATATTAATTGAAATCACATTAATCGAGTAGTAATTTAGATTACAATAATTACACTGTAACTGAGTACTAATTAAAATTAATTCTTATTATTTCTCTTGAATTAAACACATTAAGATAAAAGAATTTTTTTTCCTCTTCATTTGTTCATTATTTCGAATTCAAATTTAATTTTATCGAATGATTGAAAAATTAAATTAAACTTGCACCTACCTAGCTGTATCTAATAGAACTCCACGATGTAAAAAGCGTGGATAATCACGAATGTCAACTTTGTGTATTTTTGTATTCTTGTCAAAAAATAATTGTGCAAATGATTCCATCCCTCTTAAAGCACCCCAAACCTTAATTTCATATTTTATTTATTAAAAGTTCACATTTATCATCAAATTTCATTTTAATTTCAATTAAAAGGAAAAAAAGACAAAAACTTGATTAGCTTTCAAAATGGTTAATTTCAATTTTATAAAAAAAACAAAAAACGAAAAAAAAAATAGGAACCTGATTAGCATTCAAAATGGTTAATTTCAATTTCATGAAGAAAAAAACAAAAAAAAAATAGGAACCTGATTAGCTTTTAAAATTGTTAATTTCAATTTTATAAAAAAAGGAAAAAAAAACAAAAACCTGATTAGCTTTCAAAATGGCATCATTACTTGTAATATTCAATTTGTAACTTTCATCCATACCAAATTGTGGAAATTGATCAGTGCATCCTTCCTCTACTATTATTGTCAAATTACTAAGAACCTGTAAATAATAAATAGTATAGATTTTAATTAATTAATTAATTATTTCGATAATTTTAAAAAATGAACGAAGAAAAACAAGTTTGTATTATGTAATTTAGAAAATTAATTATACATCAATCATTTCATTTATTAATTTATTCATATTAAGTGATACATTTATCATTTTTCTATAAATAAACTGATAAATATTTCAGTTAAGTTATAATAAATAATAATTAATAAAAATTCAAATAAATAAAATTATATTTTTTAAATTTATCAATAATATTTCCTGATATTTGTTAAAACTAAACTATACCTCATTATTAATTACTTTAATATCATTTTGTCGTTTAATTATTTCTGAGCCAAATAAACGTTTGTGATAACGACTGATAGCTTTATCAATAATTTCACATTGTCCAATGGTTGATATAAAATTAAATGCTTTGAAATTAACCACCATCGTTTCATTACCCATTATCATATGTTGTGGTTGTGGCCAAATGGAACCATTTGATCGTAAATGTGGATCAGGCCAACATTCGATTTGTTGTAAAATAGAGCCTATTATTGTTACAACAATAAATAGCCACATTTGAACAATGCTAAAATGAATTTTTATTGAAAAAATTAAGATCGATTTTAACAATTGTAATTATATATTATTCCATTCAAATGCCTATTATCATAACTATGAATTTAAAAAAAAAAAAGAAAAAAAATTTAATGCAAATTTTGGCATTCAAATAATGTTAAATTTTAAAGAGGAATATAAGAAATTATTTAAATTTAAATAATTTCTTTTCCATTTCCAATTTAATAATCATTATACTTTTAATGATTTGTTAAATTGGAATATTTCAATTTTTTTTTTTTTTACTTCTATCAAATATAACAATTAAATTAAGGAAAAAGGAAAAAAAATTACAGTTTGAACAGGACAAAGTTGCAAATTATTTTTTATTAAAATTTTTAAAAAAGTGTAACATTGTTTCGAATGCTTTTAAAATTTGAAGTATCGAAAAGTGAGCATTAAAATGAATATGAAAAGAATGAAATGGAAAGAGCAAAAGAGCTGATGAGCAAAAAATTTAAATCGATTTGAAGAAAATTTTTCAAAGTTTAGATCAATCTTTGTAACTAACACTATCCCATTGTCAAATTTTCCAAAAAAAAAGAAAAAATTTCCAATCAAATCGTTAAATAAGAATTTTTAAACAAATAAAAAAGCAAATCTCATTAGTTCTTGTAAATATTGCATATTGAAATTTGAATTTTTTTTTTTTAAATTAATGCTAACTTTAATATCTTAAATTACATGAAATAAACAATTCAAAATGAAAAAGTACACTGGAAATGCATTTTCCTTCTTTTTTTTTGTGCTATTATTTAATTTAATTTGATAAATTTGAAATTGGTAATTGAAACGAAATGAAAAATATCAAACGAAAAGTAAGGGAAGAAAAAAAAATTTTTTTTTTTCTGGAACATATGAATGATACAATGTAATTTGAAAATAATTATTTCAAAACTAAATGAATTGATATTTATATTTGTAAATTAAAACAACAATGCTTTTCATCTTGTAACTATCCCAAACAAGCCTATACAATAAATTAGCATAGATTAATAAAGTAAAATTAATAAGTGAAATAATTTTATTAATTAAAGTTTATTTCAAAAACTATTTTTATTTAAAATAAAATTAGTTTCGCTTGCCATTACAAGCAAATACTAGCGAAACGATAGATGGATGATTAAAACAGGAAAAGTGCAATAGGGAGAAGAAAAAAAAGAAACTATTTTTGTAAAGGGAAGACAAATTATGTTCTGAATGAAGAAATTTTTTTTTTTAAAAGACAAATTTGTGCTTTAATACCAAAATTATCAACAGAATATGCTAATACAAATGATGAAGTGTTATCAGTTATAAACAAAAATATGGAGGATTGATATGAGAATGTTAATATTAAAACTAATCATTCATTTGTTTACCGAAAAGTTTCATTGAAAATTATCGAAATTTTGTTATTATTATCAAATACAATTCTTGTTATTATGCAGTGTTTCATAATTACTGATTCCATATGTTCCACTGAAAACAATAATAACAATAATAATAATAATAATAATAATAATAATAATAATAATAATAATAATAATAATAATAATAATAATAATAATAATAATAATAATAATAATAATAATAATAATAATAATAATAATAATAATAATAATAATAATAACGATGATGATAATAATAACAATACTAACGACAAAGATGATGACAATAATAACATTAAATATGATTTATATAAAAATTATAGCAATTTATCTTTGGAAATAAA